TTTTTGGTTTCGCCTCTCTCTATATTTGGCCTTTGGTTGTGTTTAATTCATTGTTTTATAGAAACAACATTTTAGAACTTTTTTACAGTTATAATTGTGAGAAATCAGGTCCTGCTTATGGGTTAAGGAAAATTGTAATTTAAGTTAGTTTGAAGATGACTTTGCTAGTTGCTTCATTTTGGGGTAAAGGTATTTTTTGGGGGTTCTTCTGACTGTTAGATAAATGAACTTTCAAAATATCTCTTTTGTTGAACTGCACGGACCTTTTCTGTGGCTTTCTCTGTAAGTTTTTTCTTCTTAACTAGATTTTTTCATGAGGTGCAAGATAAAAACAATCACTGTTTTCTGAATAAATGTAATCATCAAGTTGGTCTTCAGTTTGTTAGATTGGAAGTGATCTACAAAAAATGAAGTCTTTGAACTCCTTCAGCAGGATTGCTGATATCCCAACAAACTTTATGTTACTGGCTATTTGAATACATGCTTATAATTTAGTCGAACATCTCGTAATATTTCATTCTTAGATCCTAAATCTTGTAATATTTGCTTACAAGAATGATGTCTTTGAACTCCTTCAGCAAGATTGCTGATATCCCAACAAACCTTATGTTAGTGGCTATTTAAATACATGCTTATAAGTTAGTCAAAAAATTGTAATATTTCATTCTTAGGTCCTAAATCTTGTAATATTGCTGCAGGGCATCTGATTTTTCCCGAGAGTACGATGGGGCGTGTCTGCAAATGAGGATATCATACAGCCCGGCTGCGCAATTTTTCCTTTTTCTTGTTCAGTGGACTGACTGTCACCTTGCAGGTGCTCTTGGGCTGTTGAGAATTCTAATTTATAAGGTCAATCATTTGTCTGTTTAATATAACATGCTTTACCACATTGCTTTTTCCCCCCTTAAATGTACATGGCTCGTTTTTCTTCCAATTAGTGAAAATAGAACCAAATTTTTGTGATGGTACAGGTATATGTTGATGGCACCACCACTATGTCGACTCATGAGAGAAAAGCCAGCATTCGAGAATTCTATGGTAAAAGTTACTGGTTACTATATTCGGTCAATCTTTTTCTTTTCCTGAGAAAACGAATAACTAACAGTTTTTTCGAAAACTAATTTCTTGTATGCAGCTATTATTTATCCGTCTCTAATGCAACTTCAAAGAGGTGTCACTGATACAGAAGATAAAAAGCAGAAAGCTTTATGTCTGGAGAGATACAGGAGGAAGGATGAAGAAGAACACAGGCAATGCTCGGAAGTAGAGAGTGAGAGGGAAGAAGAATGTGGGATTTGCATGGAGATGAACAGCAAGATAGTTTTGCCTAACTGTAATCATGCCATGTGCTTAAAATGCTACAGAGAATGGTAATGTCTCACTTGTTTTTTACGGGATTTTTGAAGTAATGGGTGTTTAACCTTATATTGGTGATAATTTAACTGTGTGGTTTGTCTTAATTAGGTCAGAATTTATATCGAGTACACGCTATACTCTCCCACATACATTCTTTGTGGAAAATTTATTTAAATGTGGTTCTGTGCACATATGAACGAATTGTAAAACATCATGCTTCTCATATGTTTTTTTTTTTTTTTTTTT